GACAATTTTTTGCGACCAATGAGAATCAAGCTGGCCAGATTTTTCATGAGTGGATGCTTTGTCATGAACTTTTTGCCCCTTCCACTTTTGAAGAATGGCATCAGAAGACTGCATCAGCCACTCATGTTTCGCCAAATGGACATGAAGTACGAATCGACTATGTGGCTTTACCCAGAATGCTTCACTTCAAGTCGATCAAATCATGGGTAAGTGACGACATCGACTTATCCATCACGAGATTTGACCATCATGCAGTTTTGTGCCAGATTGAATTTGAACATGTGATCACTCTGGCTCGTAAGCCTCGGAAACGTTTTCAGCCAGATGTTCAGGATCTAGCCAACAATCTGCAGTATGATGAATGTCTTCACTATCTCCATTCAGCAATTTACACATCACCATGGTGTGTTGACCCACACACCAGTGCTACTCAGTTGGCCTCTACAGCATTTGATGCCACCAGGCATCTTGCGCAACCAAGAAGTCGATGGAGAAGGAAGTCGCACATCTCAGAGGCAACATGGGAGCTAGTTGAGCGCAAGAAGCACCTGTTCAAACAAATCAAATCCCTGAAACGCACTCTTAGATTTACAATTGTGCAGGCCTGCTTCAGTGGATGGAAACAACAGAAGCATCAGCAGGGTGTTTTTGACCATATTGTCTGCGACTTGCCTCGGTGGCTTATCCTGCATGATCATGCCACTGCCATTACACAATTTCATTTGCAGACTGTCACTGACCAAGCGAGAGCAGCCATCCGCAATGAGGACACCAAGTTCTACCAATCGATTGCTGATCAGACCAACCGTGTTTACACTGCAGAAGGTCTGACCATGCTTTGGAAACAATTGCGGGCTTTGTTACCGAAGCACAGAAACAAGTCACATCAAGTTCATAGAGATATCGATGAGGATCTTCAGAGGCATTTTGAACGTTTGGAAGCAGGTAGCTTTGTTGACAAAGACCAACTGCGCTCTTCGTGTCTGGTGCGTAATCAGAGTGAACTGGAGCAGCAAGTGCTCTGTCAATACCTTCGCCTTGAAGAACTGCCGACTCTTGTTGAAGTTGAAAATCTTTGCCTGAAGCAGCGACCCAGGAAGGCGCCAGGACCTGACTGTGTCCCTGCCGACCTGTGTAGACATGGCGCCACGGCAGTCGCGCCGCATTTGCACTCCGTTCTGTGCAAGTCTCTGGTATATGGCATCGAACCCTTTGACTTCAAAGGTGGCAGGCTCTGCGCAATCTTCAAAGGAAAGGGAGATCCAGATGACCCGGCTGGCTATAGGGGTATTCTCCTCTCCAATACGTTTGCGAAGATTGGCCACGCATGGGCGCGCCAAAAACTTCTCCCAACGTTACTTCAAAGGAAAACGTTGGGACAGTTGGGGGGGCTCCCATCACAACAAACGATCACAGGAGTCCAAGCTATAAGGTTACACGGCAATGTAGCACAACAGAAGCACCTGTCGAGTGCAGTCATTTTCCTTGACTTGAAAGCAGCGTTCCACCACATGCTGCGAGAATTGATTTTCTCGACCCGCAACGAGCTTGCGGTCCATGTGCTCACTGCGTTTCTGGATGAGAATGAATTTGACCTGCATCAAATTGCCTCGGATTTAGATCGATTGTGTGAGACTGACATCCATGACATCCCGAGTGGACTTCGTCGCCTCTTGCATGATATACACCAGCACACATGGTTTGTCATCTCACAGAGCCCTGACTGTGATGCCCCTAAGTGCACTCACACCAAAAGAGGAACACGACCAGGTTCGCCTCTGGCCGACATTGGATTCAACCTGATGATGACCCCACTCTTGGAAGAAGTGCATCAAGCTCTGATGGCATCTGAAGAATTTGTTGATGGTGCGAACGCTCTGGGAACTTTCACACCGCCCATTGTCTGGATGGATGATATCGCCATTTCGTTGGCCACTCTAACGGCACCACAACTTGTGCCGTTGATCCAGTACACTTTGGACGCTGTTCACAATGCTTTTCGATGCCGTGGTCTGACCATCAATTTGGAGAAAGGCAAATCAGAAATCATTGTCATGTTCCGAGGCCCAGGAGCGGTGCAGTGTAGAACCCAGATGTTTGACATTGACCATGCGCCAACCATCACGGTCACAACTGCCACGCACATCTTGAATGTGAAAGTCACCACAAATTACAAACACCTTGGCGTTCGTTTTGCTATGAATTTGGACTACGAACAAGAGGTTCTTGCGAGAATAGGAGCGGCCAGACAGGCCTTTGAGCAGATGAGGAAAGCGATTTTTCTGAATGATGCCATTCCTGTTGCAGGTCGTATCCAATTGTTTCAGAGTCTTGTGCTCTCCCGCCTTTTCTACGGATGTGCGGTTTGGTCTCAGCTGTCCTCAACGACATACAAAAAACTTGACGCAGTAGTTATTGCTTACTACAGACGGATTTTCAATGTTGGATTCTGGTCTGCAGAGCATGTTCAGGATGCTGAGTTTTTGAGTCGCAATCGCCTTGTCTCCTTTCGAATTTTCTGGGCACGACATCGGCTTTGCTATCTTCACCACCTTGCACACCATGGCTTGACTTTCCATAAGTCGCTTTTGCTGATGGAATTTCAAACTGGAAAAGGGTGGCTTTCTGAAGTGATTGAGGATTTGCAGTGGATGGCCCAGTTTCATGCATTGCCTTTTGAGATCCCCGTTTCTCGAGCTGGATGGTTTGATGCATGGGAAGCACTGCGAAAGGCAAGACCTTGGAAGCGATGGGTTAGCACTGCCGTGCGCAAGCATTTGGAGCAGGAGAAGATCGCACATGAAATTCGAAATTACCACCAGAATATTCGCCTGGAAATGGAAAGGTTTGGAATGGAGCTGATGGTACCGCTGGACTCAGAATTGTCAGGGAAACCGCAAGTTTTTGCGTGCCCCTGCTGCCCTGCCACGTTTACCAGTGCGCAGCAATTGGCAGTTCATTCTTTCAGAGTGCACCAAGTGCGAGCAGATGAAAGCTACTATGTGCAGTCAGAAGTTTGTCCTGGTTGCCTGAAGAATTTCCATACCACCTTTAGAGTAGTACAACACATTCGATACAGAAAGAACCTTTGTTGGGACCGCATTTATGGTGTACGCCCACCTGATGCACCAGGACTGGTCACTTTGCCAGCTCATCTTTCTGGCGTGCACCGCCTTCCTGCAGTACGGCGACATCATGGGCCTTTGCGACCCACCTCCAAGCAGCGTGATTGCCTACGTATTAGACAGGAGATCAACAGCCTGCTAACGGAAGGCATGCCAGATTTTGCTTGGTGGGACCCTGAGAGCCAGCCTGAGCTCACAGACAGATGCATTGATGCCCTGAATGCTGTGCTGCAACAATGGTTTCAGGATGTTTCAGCGACGAATGAAGGTTTCCATAATGCCTTTTTTCAATGCTTGTTTTCCCTCGGCATCCCGGAGTTTCAGGCTGCAAGGATCTTCATTTATTGGGTTGAGAAGATTTTGCCTGACTTTGTTCCGCCAGATGACTTCGTTCACAATATGGAGATCCTGGATGCGGCTTATATGTCGATGCTGGATGACTTGCATATTTGGCATATGCGCAATCGCTATCATCAATTGACACAACAGCTTGAGCGTCTTTCTGATGATGATGCTGCCACCCAGCCTGCTAAGCGCTCCTCTGTTCGCAGTCGACCTGCACGTAGCCACCCTATTGAAGTGCGCTACAACGAGATGACCAAGGAGGAGCTCCAGCGGAGGAACTGGCGCATGCAATCCCGCCCTCTACGTGGACCGACCCCTGAGCAGGGTCCTTATTACGTCATCCACATGTACGCTGGAAGGCGCCGGGACTTTGACTTCCAGTACCACATGGATCGGCTTGTGCGCGGTTGCGACGCTGAATGGGCTTCGTCCATCATTGTCATTTCTATCGATACGGCGATTGATGAGCGGATGAATGTTCATTCTGAAGCGGTTTGGAGTTGGCTGCTACGAAGTGCAAGAGCCGGCCGCATCTTGGGACTACTTTTGGGGCCCCCGTGTGAGACTTGGAGCAGTGCTCGGCATGAAGTTCAGATTGGTGCTGATGGTCTTCCTGATCGTGGTCCCAGACCCTTGCGCCTTGCTGATGCTTGCTGGGGACTACAGGGCTTAGCCCTTCGAGAGCTTCACCAGCTGTCCATTGGAAGCTGTCTGCTCCTTCGTGGCCTCTGGCTTTGCATCCCGGTGGCTCTCTATGGCGGAGCGGTCTTGCTGGAGCACCCTGCCCCACCGTATCAAGAGGACAGAGCTTCAATCTTTAGGACAGGATTGGTGCTTTTGCTGCTTCGCGATGGGTGGCTTTTTAGAAGGCACACATTTCAACAATGGCGGCATGGCTCAGGTGGCATCAAGCCGACCTTGCTCCTCTACGCGAACAATAGCATCCCTGCAGTTCTGGATAGTCTTGCTCTTCAAGGCTTAACCCTTAACCAAGCCACAGACTGCTCTCATCGGCAGAGATGAGAATGGATGCTACAAAACGGCGATTGCAAAAGAATATCCCAGCAATCTCTGTGCATGTTTCGCTCAAGCCATTTGGAACAGGATTGTCCTGCTTCCGCTGAAGAGCGGCGGCCAAGCACCTGATCCTTTGGCATCAGAATTCGCTGCATTATCTGCTAGGGTTGATCCCAGTAGGATGATGCGGCCTGACTTCCAGCCTGAAGCTACTGGCTGAAGTCGAGTTTTGCAGGATCGCCGCGAGATATCTCAAAGGGCCGATAAAAAAAACATATAGATGATTATAAACATTATATATATATATGTATATATATATATTATATTTATTATGTCGATATAGAGGAGGCATGATGTATGATCATCATATACCCTCTGGTAAACTAACATAACTATGGAAAATCACCATGTTTAATGGGAAAACTCACTATAAATTGCCATTTTCAATAGCAAACTGTTGACATAACCAGAGGGTAATCGATATATCGCAGTGAACGACTTTCATCTCCCAAGGTTCTTCCAGTCCACGCTCCGCAGAATGACATCTCCAGTGAATCCAAGCCTCGAGAGTCGGGGCTCCCGGGGCTCCCAGATGCCGCCATAGTGGCCACCGGGCCACCGGCCACCGGCTGGGGAAGCAATGGAGCCACAAACGTTGGTCCAACGTGGTGTGAAATTGGGAGGACATATGGCTATGGATCCATACCTATATAAATACCATTTTTAGGGGGATGAACATCCATAAATCCCAGCTATTTTGATGTGAACTACAGGGGTACAAGGTATTGACACACTAGATGGTATGAATAATCAGCTGTCTTGAATCTGTCAAAGAGTTTTGATCCATAGTCACTTGAAAGGGACTCAGGATTAAAGGCACTTGCTTTTAAACAAGTCTGTGAGAATGATTGAGGGAAAGGTTTAGGAGCTCACGAATTTGAACAACGATACTTGGTGATTTTTCCAGTGGTGACGTGAACGTATCAGATTGATACGCTGAGGTATCCGCGGCCCAATTTTTGTTGGGAGGCTTACAAGATGCACCTGGCGATGATTGGTCCAAGCTCCACCTGCAAGAAACAATTTCTGGACCGCTGGGACGTGGCTGGCAGAAAAGGCTTGATATGATCGCTGCTTGATGATATAGATATTGAATTTATGCTACTGATATCGTTCGATATCAATTGAAAGGCCAGGAATATGCGGTACATGCAGCAAATATATGGTAGCTCTCTAGCAATCTGATTTTATGGCGATTGGAGATCCCAATTTCTCAATGTTTTTGGTACCGAAATTGGCGAGGATTGACGATATTCAACCAATGTATCGAAGAGCAATGAGTTTTGTTTTCGTCCAGGGACCTTTTCGTGTGCTTACAGATCAGAATAGCATGGAATTTGTTACTTTCATCATCTTTCATCCCAGGTAGTAGTTTCGCAGATATTCATAGCATTCATAGATGTTGTGACGCCCAAGTGCTGCCCGCCTTATTGGTCTCCAATCGATCCAGGAGTTTATGCCTCGCATCGCGCACATTTTCAAAGGCACCTCCACGAAGCTGGCCCCGGGCCGCGAGGCGAAAAGTGTCGTCAGGGGATGGAGATCCATTCTTTCCATGGAAACCAAATCCATATTGATAGTATTGATTGATTATAGTTAATTATATTATAGTTAATTATATTTAATTATATAAAATTATATTTAATTATCGCATTCCCCTACTGTAGATTAACATAGACCCTGCCTGTTGGAAGAGTACTTCCAACTGAAAAGAGTTACTAATACTGCAAGTAAATGTCAATTTTCAGGGTCTATAGTATTTTGAAGGGGAAATACGATGAACTCACAATATCCATTTTTTTCATGGGAGTATCAAGCCACGTATCAATTCATTTCCTTTCCTGTATTAATGTATCATTTTGGAAGTCTCAGCTGAGGGAGCTCAGGAGGGCAGCTCTTAAAACGAAAACTGCTGTCAGGCTGTGCCGTACCACTTCTTGGACAGTGACCTGCACAGGCAAGTTGGCATTTGTCAGGATTGGTGGTTGAAACCAACCTACAGGTTTCGAGGCCCAGATAAAACGCCAGACAGCACTTGAACAGCTTCTAGGTCGGCAACCTACAGTCTATTTGATTGCCGTTTCAGGGGCTGATGGATGCTCGATAGCCAATATCCTCCTTGTTGTAAAGCCTTGTTGCCAACTGGCAGAATAGCCCTGGAATTTTCGGAGGATTTTGAGGCAGCCGCCTTAAGCTCTCAACCCTTTGTCACATTTTACCATCCTGTTTGAAGCTGAGTTTGTTTGCGTCCCAGGGTGGTTCTGTGGGACTTACCAGAGATCAAGTTCAAGCAGAATGCCGAGGAGCTGAGCCGTGGTACACCCACCAAAAACAAACAGATTTTGGCTGGTTCATCTGATCATAATATTATGATAAGGATAGTATATATCCTATGTTGATCTATTGTATATTTTTTTTGTCAGCAAACTCGGGTAAGCTCTGCCATGCTCTGCCACTTTTCCCTCGTGATGATTGCTGATTGCCATCATCGCGCAGGACTACGTCCGTGAGTTGGGATTGCTGTACATTGACTGCGCAGGAAGCTCAAGTTGGTACGGAGCAATGCCACAGACTCGAGTGCGAGTTGAGCAGAATGGAACACACAGCAAAACACAGCTGCATCCGATTCTGTTTTCTCAGATCTTTCGATCTTTGCCAATCTTTTCTTGGTACAGTCAGGTTTGTCTGAAAAGTGGTGGGAGAAAAAACATGTTGGTTTATGGTCTTCCCTTTGGAGCAGGGAAAGCCGCGTGTATGGACATCACCCTTTGGAACGGTGTTGTTTCAATGCTTCCCTGCAGTCTTGGAATATGTTTGCCACTGCCACTCAAAAAGATTTGACCCTTAGTGACTTAGTGTCCTTTTACTCAAAAAGTTCGGGAAAACCATGGTCAAACTCTGGAGGTCTTCATGCTTTTCTCTGAGAAGTATGTGCTCACAGACATCTACTGCAAGTCGCTGCCTCAGTGGTGCCAGCAGACGAGGAAGCCAATGGTACAGTGGTAGGTCATGTCATCATGTTACCTGTAAGGGTACCCCCAAGATTGGATTGGGACCTTGATATTTGAGGTTGACAGGTTGACGACCTTTCCCATTGTGCAAAGCAACGACACTGCTGTATTGGCACGCGCCCTTTTCTTGGGGTCTACCAATCACAGGTAATCCGTGCCCTGCCATCTGTTTCACTGTTCAGGCTCTGCGTAGCGTTGGGGCACCAAGCGCTGCTATGTAGAAGAGTTGTTGGGGGAAGCTTCTCAAAGCACCTTTGCGCACCATTTCAACAGGGAAACCAATGGTTTGGAACCCTTTCACCGTTTTTTGGCAGGTGGCGCCAGTTCGCAGCGTGTGCCAAGGATGGCCTTGCATGGCATTCCCTTCTTCGTCCTCTGCACTCAGAGCGAGGATGGTATGGATGAAAAAGCCGTAAGAAGGTGGGAGCAGCGACCTGTCGTGCCACCTTCCTGGGAGCCTCTGCCTTCTTCTGGGAGATGCTTGAAACTGTTGGAACCGTTTCATTGCAATGCTGACCAACCTGGCAAGAACAGACAGGTGTAATTACTTGTATATGGCTATGGGTCAATACCTATAGATACATTTTTAGTGGGATGCACATCCATTTAGCAGCTATTTTGGGGTTCACCAGGGGTACAAGGTTTTGACACACTGCCATATGAGTACCCCAAACATCCAATGGTTCCTGCCAGGAGTTTTTGCTTTTGTTTTCTTAGTTTTCACCAAGTTTTTTTGGCAGCTCTGTGGTTTTCACGGCGAGGCTTCAAAGTTCTTTCCAGGCCCAATCTGTGCAAGTCCGAATGCAGGGGACCTCAACAGTGGGCAGCTTGGGAAGTCGGAAAGAAGTTCTATGGCTTTGTCTGAAAAGAGGGTAAACGGATGTAAACGGCTAAACCCGAAATCCATTGCTTCTTCATCATTTTGGCAATCAAACATGCAATTTTTTGGGGGTAAACCTAATATTCTGCCGCACCCTCTTTTTGTCTTAGTGATGTCTTGTGGCCTCACAACAGCGTTTCCCCTTTCTATCTGGGGATCAATCTACCCGACAAAAGTTTCAGCAACCTGCTTGGCCAAGCATAGTCCAGATGCGGTAGGCTGCCGAACCGGGTCAAACCAGTCCTTGGGATCGGCCAACAGCAATTCCAGCCCAACCTAGCAGTTTTTTTAAGTCCTGACTTATCTGGGTATGGATCAATACCTATAAGGATACCATTTTTAGTGGGTTATTCACATCCATAAATCCCAGCTATTTTGATGTGAACAAAAAAGGGGTACCAGGGTTTTGACACACTGCCATCTGACTTGAATTTGTTGGGTGTTGGTCATGTGTTGATGGCCAGGTTCAATCCGGCCAAGCCACACGAAACCTTGGAGCCGTTGATCAATGACTTCTTCAAAGAGGCCAGCCGCATGCAGCCGCTCTGATGACCATCCACAGCCAGATTCTTTAGACGTTGCTTACATGCAGTTTGACTGCTCATAATACCTCATAACTGGTGTTTTGCATGGGAATTGATTACAGATCTTACTAGGGTTGACTACATGATCTTAGTGGAAGGATAACATCAGACAACAAAACAGTGACTTAACATAACAATACATAACATTACATAACAAAACATAGCAATCACTTGACACAACATAATGATACATAATGAGAATTGATTGGGACTCCGGGACAATCAAGAGGGACATTGGTACCGTTGGATCATGATCGCCTCCAGGTCTCTTGGAACAGGAGCAAGGGCGCCAACAGTGACCGCGTGAAAAATGCCAGTACCACGGGCCCAGAGATTCGGTCGTATCTATTTGGAGGAAAAAACGGGAACAAAAACCATACTTAAAACCAACAAAGAGTGGGCTTGGCGGCACTCAATCATGGAGATTGAAGCAACAATACTGGGATGGGTTCACAGCAACCAACAAAATGCATCAAAATGCTTATATATACATTATATATTTGTGTATATATATATATATATATACACATACATATACCAACAAGTATATCGTTCGGGGTAGAGTTCAAAAAGAAATATATCGGAGACTATCGGATATGGTTACTTTGGGGAGCCGTTTGACAATAAGTAACCACACCCAAGAGTGTTAAGAGCCAGCCTGCAGGTGAGGCAGTGCTGGGTCAGACGGTGCGCATCAAAAATCTGGAGAAAAAGGCGGAGTTGAACGGCAGGTGCACTGGGGCTGTGGAGCTGGAAATCTTGGACAGGTGGCAACTGTGCTGAGACCTGGAAATGAGAAAGATGGCTGGATAGATGATTCCCTGTGTTTTTGATAGATGTTATTGGTCAATTTTATTTGGTAAACTTTATTGTGGATCTAGTTTTATCTTTGGAAACACTACGTAAAAAGATGTAAGACCTGTGTACAATGTACACAAAGCAAACTCCAACTCTATCTTGCGCGGGATGATTTCTACAATTTGCCGTAGAAGTAGAGGATGCTGGTGCATTTGCAAGCCCCACAGCAATTAGTTTAGGGTACTGATAGCACTTGGAAATTGTTTGAAGGCTCCCATGATCTTCCATGAAGGTTAAAGACGATTGTGATAATTTCACCAGGATTCGCACGGAAAGAGACTTGAAACCCACAGATGCACAGTAGAGGAAACAAACCTAGAACTTGGGAATCCACATTTTGCAGAGGAAATCTATCGGATTAGACTCAAGATAGGTGAGATTTTCCACTTCTAGGCCAGTTACACCCTGCTGACCCGGCAGGTGTGGTGTATGCATCGGTTTTGAGAAGGACCAGGATCGCTACATCGTTCGTCTCATCACTGGTGGAGTCGAAAGTGATGTTGCGCTGAGGCGCTGTCCCAGCGACAGCGAGGGACGGTGAGGGATTCGTCATTTTTTTGGGCCAGGAACATGTGTTCACAGCATTTCACACACAGAGTGAAGCAACATATGTCTTCAGCTTCCGGGGAATCGCCAATGACCTTTTGAGCCAAGCGACTTCATGAAAAAAACGCATGGATAGCAAATGGGTTTGTCTGAAAATGGGGTATCCCCCCCAAAAAATAGCCATTTAGTAGGGATAATGATCAGCAAAACCATTGGGTAAATGGGGTACACAACATTTTCAGACAAACCCATATCCCCATATGCCAAGAGTTGTTTGGTGTCAGTGAAAATTAACATCGGTGCAGGTCTGCAGGTGATATTCAACCAAAACCCGCCTGCAGGGATCAGAACTTCAGCATCTTGAAGCCAAAGCTTCGGGGCGCCTTGGTGCAAGTGCAGGGGCTGGGAACCTCAGCTGCCTGCTTGGACACTTAGCCAGTTCTCAACTGGCTAGTATAGTTGTAGTCACAGTTGTACATATTTGCACAAGGAAATTTCCCGAGTCAATCCTCCAACTCCAAGTGGAACCCCCTTGAGTAGCTGGGGCTTGATCCATCCCTCAAAGGGGGATTATTTGGATCGTTGGATGATGTTGGATGCATGGCACACGATGGCTATAACATGGCTATAACCTCATCTACAGTCTATCATATTGTTGGACTATGACTATGCTATCTATCTATATATATATAATATCTTCTGTCCTCATAATGACTTCCCACATCAACCTCATTGAGGCTTCAGTCCAAGCCAGAGCTCAATGGTGGGGGGCTGAGGATACTCCATGTTCACTAGAAGGACGTCATTCTCAGTTTCAACTAGGTCTGAATAGTGAAGATGGTTGAAGTAAAAAAAAACACACACCGTTTTGTATACGTGGGTATGTCTGAGGAAATCATCCCAGAGCTGTTTTGGTCACCCATGGTTGCTATGGTCCCCACTTTAGAAAAATGTGCAGGATCGTCAATAGATGGTGATTGGATGGTTGGGGGATATTTCATCAATATTTTCCATATTCATTTCCACACATATTCCATATTTCCACATATTTCCAACATATTTCCAACAATCCATCAATCATTTACCATCCACATTCGCCATCCATATTTCAACTGATCCTCGCATCCAAAAAACGCTTGGTTACCCTCTGGTAAACTAACATAGCTATTGAAAATGGCCATTTATAGTGGATTTTCCCATTCAAAATGGTGATTTTCCATAGCTACGTTAAATTACCAGAGGGTAGCGGGTACCGTGAAAAGAACCACAGGCCGTTACGGCTTTGTGGATGAGTTCCTGCGCGAGAACGAGCGCTACCGCGTCTTTCTTCCTGCCGGAAATCCCGGAGAACATCCGTTGGAACATCTGGAACTATGTTATTTATATGTTTAAAGTTAACACAAATAGATTAATGTATACATATATATATATAAATATATATATATATATATGTAGAATCAGAACTAATTACAGCCCGTTTTTACGTTGTGGTGGAATTTTCAGAGTCAGAATTGGGGTGGTTTTGGGAGCCATTGCGTTCCACAAATGTGTCACTTCACAAGAAGTTCTGGGTCGTTGTTGTTATTGTCTTATCCACCCATGTGCATAATTCTGCATAATAATAACTTATCATAATGATTTCATAATTTGGCTAGCTGCTTTGTGAGAATCAGTCATGAAACATGTGCGCTGCAACCCTGACGTTGCCCCGCGTCTGACTTCAGGTGGCTATGAAGATAAAGTTGATGTTATTACCCCAATCAACATATTGTTCATAGGGGGTGGCGATTTTTGATCCCTTATGAAGATAAAGTTGATGTTATTACCCCAATCAACATATTGTTCATAGGGGGTGACGAATTTTAATGTGATGATGATCATGATGTGATGAGTTGATTATGATGATGATGATGATGATCATGACGGTTGTAAGTGTGGAGCAACGTCCGGGTTGGGGCGAACACGTGCAAACAACTGCGTTGCATGTCCAAGATATGCAATGAATGGTTAGAGCGTCAGGTGAATGTTTGCAATTGGTTGAAATGCCATTCCGCCCCTGGTACTTAAACCTGGCCATGAAAAAACACAACAAATGACTAAACTTATGATTTTTCATTGCTAGGTCTTCTTTGGAAGGCATATGGGTATAACTAACTAGTTAAATCATCTTAAATCAATAGAAATCCTCAGGTTTTTCATCAAGTCCGCGTCAATTCAATGAATGATGAACTTTTCTTGTTCCCATTCTGTTGAAAGCCCAGGATAGACCTGGGACTGCTTTGACGATGGCTTTGAAGTCCGAAAACCTGGAGAAGGCGCAAAAGCCAGATGGCCATGGGGCATTGGGTACCCCAACATGGATGGTTTACCATGTGGGGGTTTCTTCAAATGGTGGATCCCCCAAATCCCATGGGAAATCCCATGGGTTTCAATATGTTTCAATCCTGAAAAATCGTCGAATTTTATGCCCTTAGGAAACTTCGCTCCACATACATGGACATACATGGACATACATGGACCGGAATCTGTGGTGTTCTAGGCTTACATTTTCACTGGTACCCACCCTTTTCCTATAATATCTATAATATCCGGACAGAAAGAGGTCTTCAAGAGATTCTGATCTTATATCATATATCTACATGTTCACGAACCAACACCCTTGGTCCTCCAACATGGCTATGGAAAATCCCACAGGTAGTTTTGCAATGAGATTTTTGGATCTCCCGCTAGGTTCATTTCGCTTGCAATCAGGTGACCTCAACAAATGCCAAGCCCATAGCTGGGGCCTGAGATGAACATCATGCGGAACAACTCCCAAAATAACTAACACTAACATAAATAACCCCAGAAACCATCTGTTTCTCCGAGGATTTTGCAACAGTTTTGCTGGTCCTTCCATTTTGTGTGTGTATATTCCTATGGGTTTGATCCTATGTGTATGTATATTACAGTATTGTAGTAGGCATTAGACGTTCATTTAAATATTATTGATTACCCCATCCACAAAGGGGCGCAAGCACCCATGGGTTACTAAGGCGGCGAACGGCACGGTGGAGGCCAGCAAGAGCTTCAGCCCAGCAGCGCGAGCAGCTCCAAAGGTCTGGGTGTTGAAACCTAGGGATACCCTCTGGTAAACTAACATAGCTATGGAAAATCACCATTTTCAATGGGAAAATCCACTATAAATGGTCATTTTCAATAGCTATGTTAAATTACCAGAGGGTATCTAGAGATGCTTCTTGATTTTTTTCTTGATGGCTCTTGGCCCGAGTCCAAATGGCATTTGTTGACCTTTGGGAATTGGCAGCCAATGGCCATTCCAATGTTACACCATAGGCCTCATCCACTTTTGACAGTCCAAAGATGGTGATCATGGCAGAGGGATACTAAATTTCATGTTTTGTCTATTTCTGATGCTTGGTTTGTCGCAACTGCAGCCGCTGCGACTTCAGAATCACGAAATTCTTGGACTCCCTTGGATGCCAATATTTTTGGTTGGAATATCGCCATTGGTAGCAGGTGATCAATTGCTTCCAGTTTTGCTTTCGTGCTGATTGACATTCCCCGAGATGTGGCTATGACCTCTGGACAGCATGGAGTTTCGCAGGCAGCAAACAATGGCACAACATCGAGCAATGGTACATCAGCAAGCAACGGCGCGACGAGGCTGGTAAGCCCAGGAATATTTGTTGCCAAACCAAGTTTTCGGGCAAAGCATGGCTGATAGTGTTTGGAACTAGCCGGACAAAAGGTCAGATAGGACCAGTTGAAGTATGTCCCAAACGGATATATCCTGCAATCGCAGAACATGAGTTTGGGAGACTCTTCATGCTAGAAGTGGCATTGTTAAGTTCCAGCCATCAGACTTCAGTTTTTTTAATATCATTCAGCCCCTGATCGATGGCTTTTTTGTCATGCTATATCCCTGTATTCACAAGGTGTTTGGGTCAGAGTTTGCCAGGGATATTGCTTTTCATGCACTCTGGACCGTCTGGACCTTCTGGCATTGGGATTTGTGGAATTATCTAAGTATATCTACCCTTTGGTAAACTAACATAACTATGGAAATCACCATGTTCAATGGGAAAATCCACTATAAATGGCCATTTTCAATAGCAATGTAACAAATTACCAGAGGGTACCAACCCCTCATTTCTTGAATCCACCAGCGCTGAGGTCTGCTCCGAAGGAGCCCAAAGAGGCTCCTAAGGCTAAAGCGCCAGCGCCGGCCACGGTACCATCCACAGCGGCCACAGCGCCGGCCGCGGCACCGGAGAAGACGAAGGAAGATGAGGCCCCTGGGGGTTGCGGTTCGAGATGTTTCTTGACATTTTAGTAGATATTTTAATCTATTTTAAATAGATATTTTTAGGTACTGATGCACTGATGGGTATGGATCATGTTTTGTTTGATCGCCCAGACCACAATTCTTGAGTCTGTTGATTCGTTACTTTTCAGTACAGGCCAAAAGTCAATTTACGGTGGAAACATGTCAATCTTTGGCCCTGCCAGGACGTGTCCGCGTTTTTGCCCAAGGTGCGCTTCGGCTTTGCAGCGCTGGGGCTGAATGCTTTAAGGACTTCTTCAAGACGCTGAGGATTCTGAGGATAAGATTATTATCATTTCATCAGTATGAGTACTTACTAGTACCTCTATTAGTATCACTGTTTTATACATTTTTTTATTGTTATTGCCCTTATCACTATCACTAATATCATGAAACAACTTTATAGGAGGATACAAGTGATGATCAATGATTGGTGTCATTGATTATACTAATTATTCACTATTACTAGTATCAATAGTTCAATGGGAATTTCAGGATCCTAAAGTGGAGGTACTGTACCATATAAGGCCATATTTTGGGGGAATATTCCCTTACATAGGCCTTACATAGGCCTTATATATGGTAGGTACCTCCAATTTAGGTCCCTGAAATGGCCATTGAATAGTATTGGTATCACTATGGTATTATTGATGCCCCAGGTGGGCGCTGCGGACGACGAAGGCAAGCTGTTGGCATTTTTGGGGCCATGGTGCCATGGGACGCACATTTTTGGGGCCAAAAACCAGCTATTTTGGTGTGAAAAGAAAGACACTTGCAAGGAGACCTCTTGGATTTTCAGATTTTTTTGATGGACTCAAACTGAGGGCTCATGAGGGGTGTGCTTTCACCTTCTGCCCCTGGGATTTAAGTATGAAGACTAGGCGTGAAAGACAAGATTAAGCCAGGGTTTCGATCTGGTTACATCCCTATATTGGAAATCAAAGCCAAGTCACCTATTTAGTCCCTTCAACTAGGATTCGGCTGGTTTGTGCCCCAGTTTGAAGATGTTTGAAGCATGTGATCCACGTAGGCCTCAATATTGCGGTATAGTTCCCCCATGTTCCCCCAAGAGATGGAATAACAAAGAATATACCTCATTATTGTAGTAACAGGAATTGACTTTCTGCTACCCAGAGATGCTGATGAAACAACCCCCATCTCAGCCACTGGGAAGGCCACGATGTGGCTTGCCAGGCAGCGATGACCTCATGTCCCGCATCTTCGCGGCAGAGGCAGAGGCAGAGGCAGGGCAACGGACGGCTGGGGATGTCTGGGGATGTAAGCAATGAACGTGAGATGTGAATCACGTGAGAAACAAGATGAACGTGAAGTGGAATGAAATCCAACAAGATGTCCCAGAAAATCCCAGAAATCTTCGAGCTATTTGACCATATCTGACCTATCTGACATCTTTGGCCTCTTGCTGTGGGTTGCTATGGGGAATGGTCAGGGATACCTGGAACCTTTGCCTGGGAGCTGGAGGACTTGCTTGAATCCCAAGAGAATCACAAAGGTTTGTACCCAAAATATCCCAAAATCAGAAAACAATAGTTCTGGATACCTCTCTAAATACACATCTAATAGATGTATAGTAGAAAACCGACAATTCTGTTGATTTTTCAAGATGATCGGTATGGATTCGCGAACCTTGGAGACTTTTCCACGATAGATACTGCACAGTGTGTTTTTCATTTAGCTTCGGTAGGATTGAGGTTTCATCTGCTTCAATTAAAGATTTCGTTTGAGACTTCTGGAGTTCCGGATTTTCATGCAGGCTTTGACTCTGGGGGAGCAATCACGGATTTTCATGGATTTTTCATGGATTTTTCATGGATTTTCATAGTTTCTTCATGTTTCTTCTGCTGATTTCAAGCGTGGATGGATGTTGAAAAAATCGACACCAGGCAGCTGCAGATCCGCCGCGGAAAGCTTCGGCGGCTTCAACGGCGCCGGCACCTGCACCTGAGAAGACACGCGTGCGCAGGCGTGGCTCATCCACAAAAGCAACGATTTTGCTGTGAAAACCAGGGTGCCGTGGTGGAAATTATGATTATCATCAATAGTAACAATAGTAATTGGCAAAACTGTGGATGGAAGCAAGGATTCCTTGGCATCGAAGATGAGAATCAACAAAGGCAATATGGGGATTCTGGCGATTCTTGGGGCTCCCAAGGGTTTAGGGGTACGTGGCCATTTTTTATGCCATGACTAGTACAAACAAAACCAACAGACTTACCCTCTGGTAATTTAACGTAGCTATGGAAAATCACCATGATTAATGGGAAAATCCACTATAAATGGTCATTTTCAATAGCTATCTTAAATTACCAGAGGGTATTTGCACAGTTTCCTCATTTTGGGAGTGGCCGTTTACTCACTGGAGGGGATGGCAAACAATCCCAAACAAAGGTTGGACGACCCATCGCACTTTTTTCGTGTATATTGTAAGTAGATGTCAGTAGTGATTCTTGTCAGTGACTGTCAATGTTGATACCTGTGAGTGGGATCAACATTTGTTACATTCCGGTCTCCAGAGCTTCTGAAAAATGGGAAACCCATGGAACCCCCTATAATTAACCATTGGTTTCCCCATTGAACATGAGAATTTTTGGATGATTTTTGCATCCCACATTTTCAAGAAACCCTTCACAAGTAAATCCCCAGCGGGATTTCACCACTGGCTTCGCCAGGCTTCAGCTCTCTCTTCCGGGGCTCCTGGGACTGCGTGTTTGGGCGGCGTGGCGGCTCAGAAATCCAGACTGCACCGGCTCCGGTTTGCTGAACATGCTGGTTTTTTATATAAATCAGGATAGAATGATAATATGTGAATATATGTGATAGATATTGATAGGTTGCAATAATATCTGACTGACTTTTGTGGCAGTTGTCTGGCTATGAAACCCTTGACAAGCGTGAAGCCTGAGTGCTCAAGCAGATCCAAGCAATTACCGGGAAAAGCCTTGGATTTCCGTGCCTTCACTCCATGTCGAGCTTCGGCCTTGATGACAAGAAGGATACGTTCGAGAAAGCCAGCGTGACCAGCACCCAGCTTGAGAGCTATGGGCAAGAAATCGGAAAGGTTGCCAGCTTTGGTAGGGTGACCAGCACCCAGCTTGAGAGCTATGGGCGAGAAATCGGAAAGGTTGACAGCTTTGGAAGGGGGACAAGCGCCCAGCTTGAGAGCTATGGGCGAGAAATCGGAACGGCTTCGCGCTGAGCTCTGATCCCTAGCGCAGAGACTAAGCCTGAGATTTGAGTTCTAGTCAAGGCCTGATACTTTGAATTTGTGAAGTGAGGTATGCTGCTGGTTTTTGTTATGTTTGATGATTTTTATTGTTTTCTGGTACAGTATGTCCGAGTCGGGCCTTGGTATGAATTCAGCATTTGCTCAGATGCTTTCTGCCAGCCACACTTGTACAGCACAGTGGCGTATGCTTCTTCGCGCTTGCAGACCATTTCCCGCACGCTTTGGCCAACACGGCAGGGAGATTCTTGCAAGCAACTGGACAACTCATGTGCTCTTGAATCAAATTGGTAGGAATTCTTTGGTTATGGAAACGAGATGAAACGAGTCTTTTTGTGCTCAAACAGCAGGAAGAACGGTGAACTCTTGTGGTTCCACCTACTATATCTTTGGTTTTCGTTGTCCCATTTGGGTGTGTCTGAAAATAGTGTACCCCTAAACCCAATGGTTAATGATCATTATCCCTATTTAAATGGCTATAATTGGGAATATACCCTATTTTCAGACAAACCCATTTGCTATCCATGCGTTTTTTTCATGAAGTCGCTTGGCTCAAAAGGTCATTGGCGATTCCCCGGAAGCTGAAGACATCAGCGACCACCTCATGGATTGGGAAACCTGGTGATTTTGTGCGAGTGGCAGACGTGGTGCATTTGATGTGATGATCCATGAAGTTTAAACTAATTCCTCGGTGTATATCAGAAATTGGATGCAAGTGATGTAAATGTTCCTTTTTGGGTTGGGATTCAAGAATTGAAACAACATCAACATCTGTTTTGGTTGTTGAAGGAGATCCTCCCAATGGTCGTGTGCTGCTTAATTTTCACCACACTGGAACAGCCCCATGTTACGAAAGCTAGCTTGTGCTAGCTGAAGTTGCTCTTGCCTTAGCAAGGAATAGGCAGGCACCAGGACCGTTGGAAACCCTGAAACTTTCCAGTCAGACCCCCCCCCCTCCCCCCCGGGCCGGCCCGGGTTCAATCCCCCCCCCTGGTCCCCTGGACCACCCCTCGACCCTTCTTAGATGCCCCTTCTTAGATGCCCCTTGCACTTGCCCCCTGGACCATGGGTTGTCATCATCTCAATAATTCATTTGCAGCATTTCATCGTCAGCATCTGCATCACCATCATCAGGTGGTTTTGGGGCAGGTACAGGTTTCTTTGTCTTTATCTTCGCCTTCTGCATTTTCATCTTCCTCTCGAGCATTGTCATCATCATTGTTGTCGTCGTCATCGTCGTCGTCATCATCATAATTTCATCATCAGCATTATCATCAAATTCATTCCTACCCACCATCATCGTCATCAATTCATCAGTTTACTCTTGGAGCTGAGCAGTCTCCAGTACAACATGAGAAGCGTCCTGCTAGCTTTCGTACCTCCCCCCCCTGGCCTCAAGTAGTTCCCTGCAAGCGCAGGAGTGCGGCAAGACCGTCTTCGATGTTAGCTCCACGGGCACTTTTGCCTCCACAGTTCGAACCCCAATGCTGAGAAAAAGAAGGGTGCAGTAACAGTGCAGTAGTGTCCGGCAAGAAAAGGTTCTTTGGCAGACATGAATTGTTTTGGGTGTGTCGTAGAATGTCGGAAAAACGAAGCATCCGTTTTTTTTGCGCCAGTTTGGTGTGCAAGGCGGAGTTGGGCAAAGATCCAAATCTGCCAAAAACAGAGGCGCTCTGGGATCCCCCAAAAATGGTTTCTGCTGATATTGAAGTAGTGAACAGAGCACGCCTTGAAACCTAAGGTTTTGACAGTTTTGATGAACATTGATGAACCAATGGATCAAACAAAAAACGAGACCGTCCCCTGCACTGGCTTATGGTTTAAGAACACTTATTGTTAGTGGGGCTTATTCTTTTGCACAGTCAGACTCATAGTCAAAACTCAACATCCCGAGATCGCTGTTCACATCAGAACAACTGAGCTATCCCAAACGTAGTCATGTTATGCCATGTTTCATCGATTTTTACATTCCAAAATGCTCAAAAACACTACTAGAAGTGGGCAGCCACTAGCCCACCATGGCTCCGGGTTAATCTAGGCAGTGGAAACATCCCTATACAAATTATACTATAGGGATCTTTTTGGGGTTTTCCGATTCAAATTCCCTTTTTCAGAGATTTCCTGGCAGGTCCTGGCGTTTGTCGATCAGGAGGGCATGTTTTTGCCACCAGAAAAATCATGGAATGCAGGAAGAATGGAGAAAACGGATCTAAGATTTCAAAAACAACAAAAAAAAGATCTAGCCAACAAATTTCAGAGAAATACCAACATCAACATGACAAGGTTTGTTTCTTTATTTTTCTTCGAACGTAGCTGGCCGGGGCGCCAGTAGACCATGAGGGGTTGGCCATATCAGAGGCCTTGGGATCCGGCAAAACGGCTCAGTTCAGCACTGTGCTGTTTAGAAATGGGTCACAACTTCAAGCCCACAAAACCAAATGATGTATGATATATTATATATAAATATTATATATATACATACACACATATACATATGTATATATATATATACACGTATAGTGTCAAAGGGAACACAATGAGACGACATGTGTAACACACACATGATGAACGCTCGGGACGCCATTATGGCTCAAGACCCATTGCGTGACCAAAAGAACGCGCTCCGCTGTTGCATGGATTGACTGCTCCGACTATCAGCTCACAGGGAACTCCAACTGAAAGGTATCCGAGAACAAGGATCAAATTGTTCACAGGTTATCAGCCGTAAGGGCTCACTTCTTCCGTCGGAAGAGGAGTACCTGCGTGCTGGTAGCCGGACCGTCTGAGCTTAAGATTGTGGACGCAAAGGGCCAATCAGCTCATCATCGCAAAGATGCAGGGCGGCAGCGGAGACTCGCGCAACACGCAATTTACCTTCAATGAAAACACTGCTATGCCGGTCGAGGAGGTCACTCAATCTTCCCCTGGCGACACGGCAGACAGTGGTGGGATACGCTCTACCCGAACTACACAGTCCGGATGGCAAGTTACATCAAACAGACGAAGAATATCCACCCAAAGTACACCAAGATCTTCTCGAAACAGTGCTCGAAGTGATGTTGTCCGTCAAGGGCATCGACCATCTCGAGGACGAACTACCCCAAGGGACAGATCCACCAGGGCCGGAACCGACCGAATTGGTGAGAGGACCGGGGACACTCGCGTTAAGAGGAGATCAACGGATACTTCTGTGGCTAGTGAACCTATTGCCATGATAGAAGAACTACGGGCACAATGTCAATCCTTACGTAATCAGTTGAACAACATGGAAGCATATGCTGCATCAAGAGATCAACTGATTCATGACATCGAGATCAGATTCACTGAATATCTTCAGGAACACAACCAGAATGTGTTTGATGAGGTCAATGCACTCAATCATAGATTGTCATGTTCCGCAAATGAGGTTGCAGAGTATCAAGCAGAACTAATGGTAGCATCTCAGGAAGACGAAGGTGCAACAATACGCATCCAAGACCTTGAACGCCGAGGTGCTCTGATGGAACACGGTGCAAGACGGATCCATCAACGCGGTATGGAGATCCAGGAAGAGTACAAGGATGAAGTACATCACCTTCAAGGACTATTGGGTAATACGGAGGCAAGACTGCAACAACTTCATCAGACCAATGTCTTAACTACCGATATTGCCAACCGATTGTACACTGAAGGTCAAGAAATGCAGACGGATTTCCAGAACTCAATCATGGAATATCGTAATCGATCCGAAATGGCATCCTTCTCAAGCAATCAACTTGAAATGATTAGCCAACAACAATCAATTGCAGTTCATGAATTGTCTGAACGGAATCAGCTATTGAGTGAGGCTCTAGTTCAATCTCGTAAACAGGCCGAGTTGTATGAAAGCAGTATTGAAGAGATCACTAGAGAATCTAGAAAGAAGGTTTTCGAGGCAAATCAGGCCAAATTGGAAAGTGATCTGAAACACCGTAACACTGAACACGATACTGTCAGAAGAATTGCATCATACAGGAATCACGAGGCCGAAGCGATATCACACCTGAGGCTTGAATCACAGGCTAGTGCTAATGCAATTGCGAGGGCGGAGCACTATGAAGAGCTCTACGCCAATGAGCAGGAGATGAACTGTGAGTTGAAGGATGAGATCAAATTGCAGAACGTGAAGTTGCGAAGATCATTGACTCAGGGCACTACGACCGACGGTCGTGGCCCTGATGAGATGCTTGTTGAAGATCTACGTAATCAAGCCAAAATCGCTCAAATCAGGGTTCAGGATCTAGACCATGAAGTTCATGAATGTTTACAGGAGAACATGTTGTTAAAAGAAAGATTGACTGAAGTTGCGGATGTAGGGGCGTCGTCCTTCTCCAATGCTGAAGTCCGAACTTTAAGATCTGAACTAGAAAGTGAGCGCAAAATGAAATTGGCTAGTGGTGTTCAGCAATATGAGAGATCATGCATGTTCATGGGGGAAATTCAGGATAGGGATGAAAAGATTGGTATCAAGAATTCTGAGATTATTGACATGAAACGTCACATAGACGAACTGAGAAAGAGTCTCAAGGATTCTGAAACATCTATGTCCAGGGTCAGCCCTGATACACTTCCCTATTCGGCAGGTATCCCCAACTATGATCTCGCATCAAGATTGGTCATCGACAAACTGGAGAATGAGGTGAGTGAGGCTAACTCTGAGAACGCTATCCTAAAATCTTGGGTATCGCAGATCGACAAGGAGTTGACCTACGAGACAAATGCTGCTCAATCCTATCGCGGACATGCTGGATCTTCTCAACAGCAACCTTCTCAATCGAACAAAAGAATCACCGATCTGCTGAAAGAAGTTGACAACAAGATCGCCGATGGAACTGAGAAGGACTATTACAAGCCTCCGAGCGGATGGGGTGGTCCGCCTGACCCTGATGGGCCTCCTGACCCTTTCGGGCCCAACGGTCCAGGACCACCTCCAGAACCTCCTGGTTTGCCTTCAGTTCGAGGATCACAACGTGATTCAGCAGATGATATCTCCACAGCGGCGTACACGGCAGAAGAAGTACCGAGAATGTCAAGGCGGGAGGCTGACAAAGTCTACGTTAGCCCATGGCCGAAGCAACAGAACCTTGGGGTTTGGCAATCAGATCTTATCAAGGGTGTTGTTCTTGCCGCGAATGATGGAGACAAAGCTGCGTGGGAAGCGTGGCTACAGCCGGCTATAAGACCAAATCCTGACATTGAGCTGCTGAATGACAGTGGTGGGCAACGATATCAGTCAATCGACGCCAAGTTGTCAATCGCGTTGTCGAACGTGATAGCGCAAGCCGGTGATGTTGCTCGTCATGTAGCAATCAAACTGAGATTGAGAACACAGAGTCATAGTCGAAGAGGAACCTACGTTATGGGACGAGAAATTTTGGCTATGATTCTGGAACACTTCAGAACACCAGGTCAACGAGAGACAGCCTTCACCATGGAGCACATCGTATCGATGAAGTATCTCGGTGACTCCAACCTGGAAGTGTTCTACGAGAAGTGGATGGAGATGGTATCAAACATGATGCCGGATGATGTACCTCCTGACGATTGGCTTCGTGACGCCCTATACAAGAAGATTCGAAATTCGAGTCTCATGATGTTCGACATCAAGCAGTACGAGTCATGGATTGAAGGAGATCAAAGACGAAGCTATCGCTACCTGTTGGACGTCATCGAAAGGCACATCTCTAGAATCAGAGAAGACAAGCATGTGGCCGCTAGAGAGAAGTACGCAAGAGACTTTGCAGGTGGTGGCAAACCCACTGCTCCTGCACCAAATCCAACTGCTGCTGCACCAGATGCCAATCCGAAAGCGAAGGCTAAAGCCACTCCCAAGGAGAAGGCAGCACCTAAGGCGAAGGCCAAGGCTGAGGCAGCTCCAGTTCTACCATCACCTCAACCAAAACAGCATGCAAAAGGAAAAGGGAAAGGTCAAGGGAAAGGAAACGGGCGACCAAACAGCCGAAGTGCTAGTCCTAGATCCAAGAAGAAGATCCCATGCCACTTCCATTTCATCAAGAAAGCATGCAGAAAAGGCAAAGATTGTGAATACAGTCACGACCAAAAGGTGTTTGATGCGAACAAGAACACGAAAGGTAATGGTCGAAAGCCAGGAACTCCGAGAAGTCAATCTCCAGCGAACAAGACCAAGAAGGTTGATGAACCATGCTGGCACTGGGCTAAGGGCAAGTGCCGATATGGAGACAAATGCAACAAACGTCACGATCCTCATCTATTCAACACTGCTCCGAACACCGAAGCATCAAGCTCAAAGGCTACTCCTGCACTTGTCCATGATTGGAGTGATGACGAAGGGACATTCCACAAGGTTGCATCGAATGTCGTCAAGAAGAAGGTCAGATTTGATGAGTCCAAGACTAACATCCAAACGTACGTGAAGAATGACTTCGTGAAGTGCAGCCGGAAATCCCAGACCATCCCCAAAGGTCATGGCAAAGTCGGCAAGCCCACCGATCAAGTAAGGCAAGATGAGCAA